ATATTGTATATTAAGATATAAAAATGTTTCATGCCTCAAAAGCTTATCAAGTGGCCTTATTAGATTTAAAAACACTTCAATAAAATAATATGCTCGTTGACCAATTATAACAATATTGCAAAATTTTGAATCAATTTCAACTAATCAACAATATTATATTATGTCATTTGGAAAATTTTGAAGTTGAAATGAATGTCACATAAGGTTAAAATTCAAAATTATTATTTATAAAACACAAATTTTGATTAAATTGTATTCCACATTCCCTATATGATTTTGTTCATTTCTATTTTGTTATACACAATAACAATAATTTTATATAATCCACATAAATATAGATTTATGATTATATATAAATATAAGACAGCTACACATGTGTATACATATATTTATGTGTAAACAATAAATTCAAATAAAAATCTAAAAGAATCAAAGTAAAAATAGATTCAATCAATGTCAAAAACTTATATTGTAATAAAATATTATTTGAAAAGTTTTTCTTGTTAAAATACACATAGAAGGCATGGCATTGCCCACATATACACACAATTATATATATTATTTTATCCTTTGTTATCCTACATTCTTATGTTTTGTTTTTTTTTTGCAATTGTTTAACAAGTTTCAAACTATATCACATTTCAATTTTAATGGATAAAACCATATTACATATCAATCACAATATTGCATAAAGATATATTGCATATATATGTACTTACATATACAAAGTACAATATTATTTATCCGTTATCCTTGATGCAATATTTTTCATTCAATATTTTTTATTCGCTTTAATTATTTTCTTTTTTAATTTGTTTTAATAAAATAAAAATTTTAAGTGCATTTATCTATACACAATGTGGTAATATTGTATATACTCTGAAATGATATACTCAATAATAATAACACATGTATAATATCGTAAGAAAAATTTTCTGCAACAATATGCTTAAATAACAAATTTATATTCACATAATAGTTTTGTATATTTGAGCGTATCTTTCTTTTACATTCAGCGGAAGTTAAGGAGTGAATCGCAGAAATTATTTAAATTTTTTAGAAACTCTTTATATTTATGTTATGGGCAAAAAATAATCGCGAGGCAACAAATCTATATCAGCAATTAAAATCTATTCAAATTAAAATTTAAATTTTAAGTTATTTTAGGAGAACTTCTTCCTGAAAATAATATCCTTGTTTACTTTCCCATCAATTTTTTTTAATAAAATTTGACATTATTTCCTTCGGTTTTACTACATAACATCGCTTTCATTATTAAAATAATATAATAAACCTTTTAACTGTTATATGAGTATTTTAAAGTGCACAATATACTTGATATCAGAATTCTATTATAATTGAATTATATACATATAATAATGAAGAAATTTGTTATTATTGTAAAATATTTTTCACGCAAATTATTGAGAACAATGCATAATATTCATATAAGTAATATTTGACGTGTAATAATTTATCTCTATCCTCTATATGTGGTTGTACGGTGCAAAAATTTCGATTCGTGATAGCTATTACCCATTCATTCTGAAAGATTTTTATTCAAAGATTAAACACTGTTGAAATTTTTTAAAATTTGGTAATATTTTAATGAACTAAACTTGTTCTAGTGAAATTTTTAAAATTACTTAGAAACTCTTGTAAATATTAATGCAATCGCAACCAAATTTTGCCAGAATATAGTTACTTATAGTTACTAAAATTTGAACAATTCGAACGTTCATTAGTACTGGTATAATTATAATGATTTAAAAGTATTCTTGATATAACATTTAAAACAATTACTGTCATAGAACAATATTCTCTTCTATTTTACTGCTATAAAATTTGTTTTACATAATAAATTGACGTAAATATTTGTTGCAAACTTTCTTAGTTGGGCAATATAGAATAAGTTTTCTTGTTGATAGTAGGCTCACGCATATAAGAGAATATGAACACAATAAGAAGTACATTTATTGACAATTTTTAGGTTAGTTTATAACAAAATATGCCAGAAAATGTTGTACACTTCCCAATATACTTCCAAATATGCTATATTTATAATATGTCGATTTATATATTGTATCGATATGTTATAGATATTTCAATGACGTAACAATAACCAGCAATGCAACCAAAAAAATCGCCTAATTTTGCTTAAAATTGTGTTGTAAAATTTATAAATCTATTTAATTTATAAATTTACTTTTAAACTTTAGAAGCTTACCTAACTAATGCTCATTAATTTTGTTATGTTAACTGCAAGAACAGCTCTTTCGGTAAGTACAGTTTCAACAATAATAAAGAAATAGGCAATACCTTCAAGCATATTTTAAAAATCATAGAATTCGATTACCTGGATGGAGAAGCAATATGGATTAAATATCATAATTCAATTTCAAATTAATCTGCTAAAAATTATACATTACAAGTTCAACTAAAAGAAATTTAAACTTCACGATATTTTATACGAATATAAAAATAAATAAACTAAATTTTTAAAAATTGTTAAACAACATAATTATTCCTGTAATTTACTGGCAATCATTTTGAATTTTTCAGAGACTAAATTGCAAATCAATAAACAATTTCTTGTTTTGTCTACCAATCTTATTTCAACCCCACATAATATAGAAAAATACAATGTAAAAACAATAATGAAGAAATTTTCATTTAATTTCCAAAGTTTTTTTTTAAAGTGATTAAGCATTAAAAAAAAATTCAATAAAAAAGTTGTGAAGAAAAAAAAAAAATAAATAAATAAATAAGGAAATACTAGAAAAAATTGCGACAAAAGAAGCCGGAAACCCATAAATAAATCAAAATGAAGTATCTGACAGATAAGTTCTTATAACTCAGAGACTGAATAAAAAGTGTGAAATTATTTTTTTTAGATTATTTCTGTTTTCTGTTTAATGGAGAATCTAAGATGGTGGACATAAAATAGTTGATATAAGAGAAAAGAATGCAAATCGAAACGTTTTTTTTTGTGTTCTTTTTTTTATCTTTTCATTATGGCCTTCACATAATAGAATATTTTCTTTATTTTCATATTATGAATGTGTTATGAAGTCTATATTTTATTGTAGCTTAAAATGAATGTTTTTTTTTTCAAAAAAACAGACCAGAATTTAATTCTAATAATGAAAAACTGAGAAAAAAATAAAGAAAAATGTAAGACGAGAAAGAAAACAAAAAGAGCTTAAAAAATGAAAATTATTTATAGAAAAAAAAAATTCAAGTGATGACATTATCTATGATAAATGTGAAATTTTGAAAGTTGAGAATTTTATGTGCTATTCTTTCTATATTTTCATAATATTGTGCTTCTTGTCTTTTTCTCTCATCATCTCATCTTTGGACTTCATTTCGAGAACAAAAAAAGCTACACACGTGTGGAAGATTCTATAAAATGTAAAATATATAATATATATATATATATATATAGCTATATAATATTAAACAAAAATGAAAAAATTATAATATTTTATTTTTATATTCTTGAATATAATGAAGACTTTATTTCTAAAATATTAATATTGAATATCTTATGGAATCCTTATAAATAAATTGATATTGTGACTTTCTAAAATATTGAAAAACTAAGCATTTTTTTTCTTCCTTTCTGAACGATGTCCTTGAAATCGGATAATAATTCAATATTTATTATTACAATGTGTAGTAAATAGTCCTAAATTATAATTTTGTTTCATGAAATCTAAAATTAAAAAATAAAAATTGAAATAACTTTCAATTAATTAAATAAACGAACTAGCGAAACACTCTGTAAATTCGATACAATTATAGACACCCATATTTCTTTTTAAGTATTGATAGAACTGAAAATGAATTACGTATTCTAATTGTTTGATATTTTCTTCATTTTCTACTTATTTATAATTTGATGTTTATATAATCAAAATGAAAAACAAATATTAAGCATCCTCCTTGCTAAACGATATAAAATTATGAAGTATATAAAATTAGGGGTGTCAATTACTGACATAAGGTGTCAATAGCTATATGTTGAGAAAGTATAATTATTGATACCAACTAAAAATGGCACAATTAACTGATTTAGGAAAAAAAAAATATTTTCAAATTAAAATTTTTATCCAATATTAATATTTAATAAAGTACGCAAAAATTGCATACTTTTAGGGCAATGATAGCAAAAAATCTCCTTCTCTAATAGAAAATGTTTCTATTACGCTATCGGAATTCTGTTTTGAAGTATTCGCAAATAACTTTTTTCATAATTTAATGGTCTTTTTTAGTTCTGGAAACGCTCCCTTAAATTATACTTATTTTATTAAGTATATTATTGCTTATATTAATTTATAGTAAGTAAATTTTGGATATTAAAAATTTGCTTATTACTTATCTGCTATAAGGAATTAATTGCAATGGGAACTGGAAAAATTTTTCAATTATAAATCTTAGAGAAATATATTATAACTGTACTACTTAAATTTATTTGCTTATTATTTGATTATTGCCAAAAAATGTTGGTATACAAAATTTTTTCTGCCAAAAATATTATTTGCATTGAATATAAACAATTAATTTAAAATTATAAATAAAATTTTATTAAAAAAAATAAAACTAACAAAATTTTTTTTATTTTTACCTTTTCTTTTTTATTTTTTCCCCATTTTAATTTTTTTTTTTGTATGTATAATTGAATCAAAAATTGACCAAATTGATTCCAATAAAAAAAAAAAACAAAAAAATATTAATGTATTCTGCAACATCTGTTAAAACACCTATAATAAAATAAAAATATAAAAATTGGCAACTTTCATAACAAAAAAAAAATAAATAAAAAATATTCACCACATCAACAATAAATTTGAAAAAAAATTTTTATAAACAACTATCGAATATTTTTATTTGCATATCTTATACGCAATCTATAATATGCTCCAACAATTCATATAACAATATTATTAAAAACAAAAACGATAAAAAAATGTAAAATTATTAATAAATATAATTAGAAAATTCAACGAATAAAGGATTTAAACCAATTCATAAAATTAAAGGAAATAATCATCAAAATCATCATTACCATCATTATCGTCATAATCATCAACATAATCAGCGCCATATCAATAATAGTAATAATAATCGAAAACATCAACAACATCAACACTCTAAAAATCATAATAATATTATTTCACTGCCAACAACAAAAAAATCAAATGAAAGAAAACATTCATCATCTTCATCAAATAATGCCGACATTACATCAATTGATGATACAATGAATTTATTGAAATCGATTGATAACGATACTGAATCAATAAATAGTAAAGTAACAACACCATCTTGTACAGCATCAATAACAACAACATCATCATCGACAACAACAACAGCAACAACAACAGAATCATCAGATACTGATATACCACCTCCAACTATAACAACAAGTTCTATATTAGCAGCAACAGCTTTAACAACTGCCACATTATCCGCAACAAACGGATTTAATAAATCATTTTCTATTATTAATACAAATATTAATAACAATAATAATAATAATAATAGTAATAATAACAATAATATTAATTTAAATACATTAAATAATAATAATATTATTAAAACAAAAAAATTAAATACAAATAATATAAAAATAAATATTAATAATAAATTTAATACAATAGGTAGAACAAATTATAATTGTAAAGAGGAAAGTGATCATTTAACACAACTTTTATTACAACCACGTTTATCATTAAATGGTAATTGTTCACCACCAATTATTAATAGTACAACAGCAACATTAATTAAAAAACCAATACCAAAAAAAATTTTAACAACTGGTGCTAATAATTTAACAACAACAACAACAACAACATTAATAAATACAAGTGGTATTGGTTTTAAACATTTAGAACCACCACCAATTAGTTTACTTGGTGGTCATCATAATGATCGTAATTTATCTAGTTCATTTCAACCAATTATTACAAGAACATCAACAACAAAAAAAACAAATAGTACAGATGAAATTCATGGCATTGCAACAACTGAATTATTAATGAGATCAAATAATTGTCAAAATGAAAATGTTGTTTTAAATGTTGATAATTTAAGAAGATTTTCAGCTGCAAGTGCATGTAGTGGTCAAACTGGTAGTGGTGGTCAAAAATTTAACGGTAAGCATTTTCTACATAAGTTTTCAATGTAACAATTTATTATCACACAAAACAAAATGGCCGTATTTTAAAATTAAATGCTAATTAAGATTATTAAAAAATTAAAAAAAAAAAATTAAAGAATTTTTATATGTAATTGTTGGTGGTGTTCATTAATTTAAAGAATTCATTTTTTATTTACTTTTTATATTTTTTTTTAATAATAATTCTTTAATATTTAATTTTATTGTTGATGTTGTTGTTGTTAATGTTTTAAATTTGTTGTACATACATCCTAATCTTAATCATTTTGTGTATTAATAAAAAAAAAAAATAAAATAACAATCATTAAGGAAAATTTGTGTTACCAAAAAACATACACTCATCTCTTTTTGTTTCATCAAGAAAAAAAAAAGAAGAAATATTTTCACAGTGCATTTCATTTCATTCACAAATCACGTAAAATAAATTTAATAAATTTTTACTTCTACAAAGTTTTTCGACGGTAATGCTATTATTGTCTTTGTCTTATTACAAAAAAAAATTATATACTAACTCTCTCTTTTTTCTCTCCCAAAATGACACAATGAACTATGTTTTAAATTTCTGTCATCATACATTTTGTTAACTGTGCTCATATTATCGTTTTTCATTCTCTTATACTATTATTCTTATCATCTACTTCATTATGAAACAATAATTTACTGTTATACAGATTATTTAGTGTCAATGAAAAAAATTAATTTTATTATTTATATTTTTTCTTTTTTATCACTTAAATTTTTTTTTTTGCATTATTTTAATTTTAGATATCGTAGGCCCTAAATTTGGTATGTCGCGACCTCAGTTTGGTCAAAGCGTTTCACAACAAGGTTTCTTTTCATCGCATGATAGTTTAACAGCACCATGTGTCCAATCACGTGCCTCACATCCACATGTTTCGGTAACAGCATCCGAAATGGATTTATCAAGAAAACAACGTCGAAAAGAACGTAGTAATCGTTTAAAACCGACAACATCTGGTGAACAACCGTTATTAGGTGGTTCATGGAATCGATCTGGTGTTGTAAGAGGCTCACAAGATAATACATTAAATACAACACATTCAAATAATTATTTAAGTGGTGGTGCCAGCTGTAACGGTACCGATAGGTAAGTTTTTCTTTTTTTTTTGTTATTTATTTAATTATCAAAATTGAAAATAGTTCAAGTAGTGTTATTACTGATATTGATAATAAAATTTTTATTGTCATTGTGAAAAACAGTCAGTTTTAATCAGAAAATTTTTTATTAAAATTTCAAATTTCAATTTTTGGCTCGTGTTTTCCACAATGTGAATAAGTATCTTATTAGTTTTACCTGAAATTGCCTATTTACTTATTATAATTACAGACTGAGTCGACGTACTGGTGGTGGTGGTGGTGGTGGTGCTGGTGGAGCCAGTGGTGGTGGTACAAGTGGTGGTTGCCAACAAGGAACAAATACTAGTAGAGTACATACGGCACGTAATAGTGCCAGTAGTTCAGCAACAATTACACCAAAACTATCATTTGTATTTGATCCGGCCGGCCGATTACATTATTATTGGTCAATGGTCGTTAGTTTAGCATTTTTATATAATTTTTGGGTTATAATATATCGTTTTGCATTTCAAGAAATTAATGGTCATACAATAATTGTATGGTTTTGTTTAGATTATTTTTCGGATTTCTTATATCTAATTGATATATTATTTCATTTTCGTACTGGTTATTTAGAAGATGGTGTATTACAAACAGATTCAACAAAATTACGTCAACATTATATGAATTCAACAACATTTTATATTGATTGTTTATGTTTATTACCATTAGATTTTTTATATTTATCAATTGGTTTTAACTCAATATTAAGATCATTTCGATTAGTTAAAATATATCGTTTTTGGGCATTTATGGATCGTACTGAACGTCATACAAATTATCCAAATTTATTTCGTTCAACATCTTTAATACATTATTTACTTGTGATATTTCATTGGAATGGATGTTTATATCATATTATACATAAAAATAATGGTTTCGGTTCTAGGAATTGGGTTTATCATGATTCAGAATCGGCCGATGTAGTTAAACAATATTTACAAAGTTTTTATTGGTGTACATTAGCTTTAACAACAATTGGTGATTTACCAAAGCCAAGATCAAAAGGTGAATATGTATTTGTGATATTGCAACTACTATTTGGTTTATTATTATTTGCAACAGTATTAGGACATGTTGCAAATATTGTAACATCGGTTAGTGCAGCAAGAAAAGAATTTCAAGGTAAGTGAATTTTTATTTTTTTTCCAAATAATATATTACCATCAATAAATGAATATTAATTATATTAAATGAAAATTTTGATATTTAAGTTAAAAATATAATTTAATGGGTTTAGAATTTTTTTAAAATTCATCAAACGCGCACGATGAACTTAATTTTGCCTCTTATATTTCTGATAAATTTCTTTCCCGGATATCTACCCCGCACATTCCTTGTCATTTAAATTAAATAAATATATTTAGGGAATTGGCATTCAAACTCTTTTTCGTTCCGTATTCTTATTCTACCATATATTAAAATGCTTACTGAACAAAATAGGTATTTAGTAAAAATTTCATGTCTAATCTAAAAAATACTACCACACAATTTTAAACTACCAAAAAATTGTTGAATTTTCAAGTCATTGACTCATACTTATATGTAAGCAACACTCTTTTCTCTTTTTCACCTAACATAATTTTTAAATTTAATATTGATTATGTTAAAGTCTGAAGTTGAATAATTTTCCAAGTAATTTATGGAATGGTCTTCCTAGACGGAAAAGGTTTATAAAATATTTTTGTTCCTTATTTTGTTACAAAATGTTCCTGGAATTTTGATGGACATTTTTGAAACAGAAAATTAATTGAAAAACTTTTTCTCTATAATACACACTTGTTTTTGCTTTTACTATCATTGTTTTGCTTTTTGGGTATAACCGAAGTTCTTCTTTAACTCAAACCAAGTTATCAAAAATAAAACTGTGTAGTATAAAATTGTGGGTCGTGTATTTATTTTTCTCATTCAAAAATGTTTTGTTTTCTTTTCTTTTCGCTTTCTCATTCTTTTATTTTCTCTTCCTTTTTTTCTTTTGGGGGTGTTCCAATAAACAGTTAAAATGAATTTGTTGTAATCGTAAGCGGTAAAAAAGTGAAAACTTTTTGTCATAATAAATAAAAAGTTTTTGGACTGTAGAAAACAAGGGTAACTGAAATGAGTGTGAAAGAGAAGAATATATAATAAAATAAAAAATAAATAAAATAAAGATGTTTTAAGGAAAAGCAATTTATCAAGCTTAAAAAATTTTTTTATTTCTTATTTTGAAAGAATTAAAGGTAAAAATATCCTTTTTGAGTAGAGCGAGTAAAAAAAAATTTTTTTTTACTATAGAAAAGGTCGTTCAGAAGAACCCTATCAAAACATATTCAAGTTTTCGTTTTTTTTATCAACATAAGAAAATTTTCTTCTCATAAATAAGTTTAGGTCTCATTTCTTTTAAAATAATAGCAAATAATTAACTAGTTAACTACGGGTTTAGTGGTTAAAATAATATTGTAGTCCGAAGCTATATTTAATTTTCTTTGCCCTGAATTATTTCAAGTTATTAAATTAAAAAATTACATTTTTCTAATAGATAAAAGAAATTCTGATCAAAATATAACAGATGATTAAAAACTATAAACTTTCTCAGTTCCTATCGTATAACCAGCTATTATACATAATAAAGAATCTGGTTTAAAAACCACTTAACTTGAAGAATAATCAAAAATAGTGATGAGATTAATGTTAGATTGTAAAATTTTGAACACCATTAAATTTTATGAAGGTATAGATGGGATTAAGTATGAAATAAAGAAGTTTAAGAAAACTTTTCTTTTATATTATGGTGCACTATAACTTAAACAAAGATAATTTATAGAACATGGAAAGGTTTAAGAGGTAAAATTTAATAAGATAGGTGTTGAGGTGCTTATTAAATAACATTTTTGCAATTTATTGTATTGCTGTTATCAGTCGGTCTTTGCGGAAATATTTAATAATAACCTAACATGTTATGTGTTGCTCATGTACCTATAATTAAATTTAACTATTACAACTTTATTTTTGTAAATCAAGGGAATTACGCGAATTCATAACTAAGATGTTTTTATAATTAATAAATTTTCGCAATACCTGTTTCTGTTTTAGAACACTGTTTTTTTATTAAGAAGTCATTGTTAGATCACTTTTTGCACTTTGAAAGATTTGGTTTTTTTCGAAGTATAATCGTTTCCGTATTATTTTCAAAATAAAAATTTCATGTGGTTTTTCCATAATTTGACCAGAAAATTCATTTGGTTTTTTCACGATTCTATTGGATTGTTGCCTTTTCTAAAAAGAACAATTGCTGTACAATTTCCTTGATATTAAACTCAATATTACTTATTATTTTATATTTGACGAAGCAGCAGCAGTTTGATTAAGTATTCGTAAGAATTTTAAATTTTTCTTTCAAAATTTTAATTAAATACAAAAATTTTGCTTTTCATTTTCATTTTTTTTCATTTTTCTCTTTATTTCAGAAAAAATTTCTACGATTTTTATCTTTGTATTCACATACAAATTTCATATATAATATTCAAATCCTAAATTTATTACAGCTTATTTTTCGTGTATAGAAAATCAAATTAAATTTTTTATTTTTGCTTTTTTTTAATTCCTTCCTAGAAAATTCTTTTACTTCAAATTCTTTGTATACGTACCCAAATACGTATGTATATCGTGTGTACTACATCTTATGTACAAAAAGTAAATTAAATTTATACGTAAAGCTATTTTTAGAATTTTCTTCATATGTTAATAATTTACACGGAGAAAATTTACGGTATACTTCCATTTAAAATGTTAGGCGAAAACAAAAAAGAAGAAGAAAAAAAGAGAAACAGAGATATATTCTTCCTGTAATAACGAAGTCATGAATGTAATTTGTTTAATAGCAATAAAGTCCCGAAAAAAAAAAAACAATATTTTTCAACTTGTGAAAAAGAAACGAGATAGAATCTTTCATGTATATGCATATTATGCGTATATGTTTGTACGCGAATGTATAATTTATGCATGTAGTAATAAAGTCGTTTAAAAAGTTACCACATTTTTTTTCAATAGTAAGTTGAGAGGGTTGCCAATTGCATTAAGTAGAGTATTAAATTAAATAATCTACAAAATTTTTAAATTTATTCACACTGTAATTGCGACGAAATATTGCAATTATCCTAAGCGACTTGTGATATATTTCATATCAAAGAAATCAAATAGAAATGTAGCTCTATGTACGACCAAATCACACGAATCTCATTTCATTGTCGGTTACATTTCTCTTCTTCTCTCCTATTTTTGACATGGAATGTATTTTACACGGAAAACTACTACAAGATATCTAAATAAAAAGATAGAATTCGGTTTCATAATAATAAAATAAAATTACGCCTGTAAGTATGCAAACAAAAATATTATTTTTTAAATATCATTGCCGCTTTGGTGATCTTATAATTCATTTTGTTTATCCTTCCCATATTCTCTATATATCCATGTATATTGTTTTATACAAGTATATTTTATTTGATATTAAGTTATGACATCAGAACAAAAAATTTTAAAATAGCCTAAGGGAAAATAATATCTAAATAGTCTCCTTAGATTTTAAAATGTATGCAAATATGAGATTTTCGTGAATTTATCTTTATATATATTATATACACACTACTGATATACACAAATCTTAACTATATATATACAAACATGGTATACGTGTACATTACATTTCTAAGCAAACACAAAAACAGAAATTTTTAACATTATACGTTTTGTTTTGAATAACTTTGTTTTCGTATTTTACATGTGATTGCGATAACATTTTCATTGTTTTAAGGATTATTTCTTATAGTTCTTAAAGGTGTGTACATATATATTTTAATATTATACAATTATTGTATAGGATACGCATGTGTATGTAGACATGAATAATAATGTGAAATACTGTATAATGTGGTACTACTTTTAGCTAATCTGTACAAAATTAGATTAAAAGTATTCTAATATAAAGGTAATCTGTTGTAAAATTAAACAGTCTTCATTTCTCTACTTATGCCACAAGGCTTTGTAATATTAATTTTAATTAAGAATATTGTATTATGTATTCGCATTTTGTTTGTATACTCTACGTGCATCATAAAGGCAATATGCGCTTGAGTTTAAACAAATAAAAATAATAAAGTGAAAGTAATTTTTGTAAATTAAATATGAGCAAAAAGAAAAGACGAGAAAAAAATGAGAACTTAAAAAAAATCCTTTTCGTTCTTATTCTACTTTTTGAAATGGTCGATTTAAAAAAAAAAACATAAAGTTGAAGAAAATAAATAAACAAAATTTTTATTTTTACGGAAAAATATGCTTCTGTGTTTGATTAGTTTGATTTTATGAATGACAAATATTTTTCTTTCTGGAGAGGATCTGCAATTTTGCAAGAACAAGAAGTTTATATTTGCATTATATTCTCCCTATTAACAAAATAATAAAAAATGTTAGAGCAATATGTCCTTGTACGATGAAAATATGAGATTTCCTTGCAAAAATCTTATGGGTTATTCGAAAAAAATATTTTAATTAAAATAAATTTAAATTGTAGTTAATAAATTTTTACTGCAAATTTTATTTCTCAATTTAGTTCTCAATTTTGCATCATACGAACAGAAATAAAGATACTCATACGATTCAAAGGCTTGCTTGGAGTCGACTTTTTAACTTATTAGTGATAAAATCACAATCATATTAAATTTTCAAAAAATTGTTAATAATATCAAATATCCGAACCCTATTCAAGTTAAATATAATTGAGACAGTAATTTTGGTGGCTGTAAATCAATTTCAAAAGTTATTTGACTATATTGTAACTACAAAGAACTGAGACTTCGTAAAAACTGAAATTTAGGTATGATACTCGTAATACATCCATTGTTTATTGGAAATTCGATGAGATCGTATAAATTCTTGTAATATTTTCCAGACAATTTAAAAATTTATTTAATTATGTGAAGAAAATGTTCAAGCTACAAAATACTAGCATAAGCAGAATTAACTATATATGAATAAGAAAGTCAGTAAATAAAAATTTTCGACCGTTGTATTTAGTAGCATTGCAATTAACATGCCAATTGTTAAGACCGTTCAGTTGTACGGACAACACATAGATTTGAAGCAGGTTA